TCAATAAGCAATCCTGAAAAATATTTGGGGGCGCTTAACTTTTTTCCAGGTGTATACTTACTACATAGATGGTGTTTGAAACTACAGTAACCGAACGTCTTCTGTTTGTTGGAGATTCGTATTTAAACCTATTTGTATGTTGTTGTTTTTTAATTATTTCTAATTATAGCCAATCTTGGCTTATCTCTCATTTTGCCCTTGCTCCTCTGTGGCCCAGCGGCAAATTGGTGTTGTTTTAACGCCAAAATCGAGGAAAATGTCATGGATTGGGATAAAGCACAATTTTATTTGGTCAGGTAAATTCGTGATCTGTCCGCTCTCGAGATTCTACAAGTAAAATTTATTAAACTGAATAAATGTTATAGTCAGGCGTACATACAAACCCATGAAGCGTGTTGCTCTTGTAACGAGAAATTAAACTTAACACTAACTTTTTGTATGATTAATCCAGTGTCAATACGTAATATTATACATATTGAAATATAGTGATATATATATATGATAAAAATCTAATTATTCATGATATAGGAAAACATATATAAGATAACTTCAAATTATTCATAATATCGGGATTATATATATGATAAAAATCTAATTATTTATGATATAGGGAAATATATATATTTATATGATAAAAATCTAATTATTCCTAACAACTATGGTGAACCCAAATTATATATTTACTGGTAATTTTGTAATTAGAAAATAAAATATTTGTAATTAACCAAAAACAAACGTTAAACTATTTTTCATTGGACGTTATGTTGACCAACCTCCTCCTCCGGAATATCAGGGTAAACAACCAGTTTATCAATGTACCGAATCTGTTCGGAATCGCCCTTCTCGAACTTGTGGTGATTTCCAAGATGGATTCTCCAGAACTCCTTCTTGGGATAACTACAAAAATCATCGAGAAATGGAATATTGGAAAGAAAACTGAAAATTTACAAATAAATATATATATATATTGTATATTAACATTGTGGAACAAATAATCCGCATTACAATAATTAAACTAGTGTTATAATGACAGTTCCAGTAATAGTTTGTTATATTTGTTGGTGAGATTTCTTTATGGCTAAAGTTCACAATCTACACTCTCCTGTAACATCAACAGTACCACACAGTGACAGTTCCAGTAATAGTTTGTTATATTTGTCGGTAAGATTTCTTTATGGCTAAAGTTCACAATCTAAACTGTCCTGTAACATCAACAGTATGACACAGTGACAGTTCCAGTAATAGTTTGTTATATTTGTTAGTAAGATTTCTTTATGGCTAAAGTTCACAATCTAAACTGTCCTGTAACATCAACAGTATGACACAGTGACAGTTCCAGTAATAGTTTGTTATATTTGTTGGTAAGATTTCTTTATGGCTAAAGTTCACAATCTAAACTGTCCTGTAACATCAACAGTACCACACAGTGACAGGTCCAGTAATAACTTGTTATATTTGTTGGTAAGATTTGTTTATGTTTAAAGATGTTAAAGTTCACAGTCTACACTGTCCTGTAACATCAACAGTATCACACAGTGACAGTTCCAGTAATAATTTGTTATATTTGTCAGTAAGATTTATTTATGGTTAAAGATGCTAAAGTTCACAATCTACACACTGCACTGTAATATTAACAGTATGACACAGTGACAGTTCCAGTAATAGTTTGTTATATTTGTCTGTAAGATTTCCTTATGGTTAAAGATGCTAAACTTCACAATCTACACTGTCCTGTAATACCAACAGTATCACACAGTGACAGTTTCAGTAACCCTAAACCTCATTAAGATTATATTACATAATCCTAACCAATGGTACACAAGCTATTTGTAAAACCACCTAAATAACACCCACTACTCACCCACTTTGAACCTGACTAAGGTCATATTACATAATCCTAACCAATGGTACAAAAGCTACTTTTAAAGAAGTAAAAATCAGGAAGTACGAGCTGCTCCTCATATACACTGGTGAGGACAAAACAAACTACAGAAAACTATAATACATACCTTTGATTTGAGTCAGGGGAGCTTGTTGTATCAAGAATTAAACAATTTACTACCAACCTCGACGTGTTAAAAATTATCAAAAATGTTACAGAGAATTTGAATACAGTTTCGTTGAGTTTTATGTTTGCTATAGGTTTGTCATATAATAGGAAGTTTAAACTTCAGAAGTTCATAGCAAAATACAGGTGAACTTTAGCTACTATCATCAGAACGTAATGACACGAACTATGTGAGATAAAGTCCCTAAACTGTATAACCAGGATGTTGAGAAGGCACAGCTACATCAGGACAACGGATCATGTCACACATGCCATGAGGCCAAGAAGGTATAGCTACGTAAGGACAACAGGTGATGTCACACGTGCCATGACGCCAAGAAGGTATAACTACAGCAGGACAACGGGTCATGTCACACGTTCCATGATGCCAAAAAATTATAGCTACAACGGGTCATGTCATACGTTCCATGATGCCAACAAGTTATAGCTACAGCAGGACAACGGATCATGTCACACATGCCATGAGGCCAAGAAGGTATAGCTACGTAAGGACAACGGGTCATATCGTACGTGCCATGAGGCAAAGAAGGTATAGCTACAACAGGACAACGGGTCATTTCGTACGTGCCAAGAAGGTATAGCTACATCGGGACGATTAGTCGTGTCACATGTACCAGGATACCAAGAAAGTATATCTTTTGAATGTCGACTTCCTTAAAGTGAAAGGTCTGTAAAAAGTCAATTTGTGGTCTAAATGTTGATCTCGTCATCCTTAACAATTATTACAACGAAAATTATAAATCAGACATTGAAGCATTACCACGTTAATGATACTGAGCCAAGTCGACTGTCGGCACGAGACCTTGGACATTGTGATAATTAAATGCAACTAACTTTCTCTAAGATGAATTTTGAGTTTCCAATTGCATAAATTCAAGAGATCCTCTGTAATGATTTCTCTGATAGAAGCGTATTGTTTTATGTACACTTTTAGATCTGGTTAAAGCAGCGACATCTAACTGACTCTAGTCTAATTCAGTGAAATTATTTGCGAATCGAATTATAATCTGGGCTTAACCTTTTTTACTGAAATATGCAATTTTGATGATAAGATAAAAAAATCTTGCCTTTTGGATAATTTAGAAGAATTGATAAGTAGTATTAAAGCTACAAACATATATATATTTCCCCAGTGGCACAGAGGTGTGTCTGCGGACTTATAACGCTAGAATCCGGGTTTCGATACCCGTGGTGGGCATAGCACAGATAGCCCATTGTGTAGCTTTGTGCTTGATTACAAACAATACAAACATATATATCTATATATAAGTACCACTTCTCTAAGATAAGTGAAGATTTACACACATAAATGTTTCATTAACTTTCTACGGTTTCAGTTCTTCAGTAAATAAAGTTAAGAAAACATTTTACTAGTGTCGCAGTTTTTACTGAGATATAAAGCATTTCGAACTATTTATTGTAATAAACGTCTGTGCTTCAACCTATACTTGAGTAAAATATAATTAATTCTGGTTCACTCCTAGAAGAAATAGACTTGCCTTTTCTTGAGAAACATGGATTTTATGTTAAAATATCATCAATTCTATTTCACTCCTAGAAGAAATAGACTTGCCTTTTCTTGAGAAACATGGATTTTGTGTTAAAATATCATTAATTCTATTTCACTCCTAAAAGAAATAGGTTTGCCTTCTCTTGAGAAACATGGATTTTATGTTAAAATATCATCAATTCTATTTCACTCCTAGAAGAAATAGACTTGCCTTTTCTTGAGAAACATGGATTTTGTGTTAAAATATCATTAATTCTATTTCACTCCTAAAAGAAATAGGTTTGCCTTCTCTTGAGAAACATGGATTTTGTGTTAAAATATCATCAATTCTCTTCCACTCCTAGAAGAGATAGGTTTGGCCTCTATTAAAAAAGATGGATTTTATGTCATACTAAAAACTGAATTCTTTAAAATCACATGTTAAAAATAATTCATCAAATTTTAGGTTTTTATT